AATTACTTTGTAAGTAGGTGAAGCAAGATCGTCTGGGTGAGCGTAGTCCATGAATTGGACTCGTTGTTGTTTATAGTGACTGACGTTTCGATAACCGGCGCTTCAGTCATCTTCCGAGTCAATGAGAGGAGTACGTTCACCCGGATGATCATGCTTCATCTACTTATGAGATGACATCGATCACCGATCAATTTTTATGATAATTAGGTATTTTTCTGGAGAATTTTTATTGTTATCAATTTTGTGTATTTGTACTTCAGAGACAAATAACGTTAAAGTTAGACAATTTCTTGTTAGTTACACGTGTATTTTCTATAATGCAGTTTTTATGCATAGAAGTCGATTTTTTGGAACAAAAGAATAAATTACACAGTGACCAGTAGCTAGGTATACGTAGTGAAGAGTAAAATTTTCATAAGTTGTTAGGTATTTGTTGTTAACGGAGTAATCGAGTTTTTGTCGGTAGTGAAGAATACAACTTAAATGTAAAAAGTGTAGAATTTCATCGTAAAAAAGTTGCCTATTTGTCGTCTTTGTGAAGGAATTGTTTTTTATGGCATTAAATAGGCCGCTTGATAACTTTAGATTGAAGATTTCATATATATTTCTTTCAAGTCGTGTGAAATTTGACTGGCGCAGCTGGGACGAATGGCCGATCGTTGAGAGTTTTTGTGGAAAGTAAATAAATATCGATCTTGTAAAAATTTAAAATCACATTTCTGCTAATGAAGTTTGTGTACTTCAAAATGTTTTTGGAAGTTTTAAGAAACAGACTCCAGGTGTTGTACATGTGAGAGCCGGCCTGATGTGATTCGGTTTTTTAACTGTCCCCCACTCACAACATGATTGTGATATGTGGTGAAGAGTTTGAACTTGCTTCACAACACTTTCATGTTCACCATTTTTTTGTTTCCAGTGGTGAAAATGAAGTTGAGGCTGCTTGACAAAACAAATTCTCGACCCAGGTGCTCTGCTGCACATAACCACCAGGTCCGGATTCCTCGAAGGACGGTTAAGTTTAACCCAGGATTAGACTAAATTTGATGCAAGGTTTTCTTGTGTACGAGCATGCAACTGGAGCTTACAACATACTGATGAGCCTTTACTCCGAGTTAGATACAGCAATACTTTGGAAGGCAAAATACAAAAACGAGCCACTGAAAATTTTAATCCTGGATTAACACTAATCGGGCTTTCAGGAGCAGACCCAGGGAGACAAGCGTAGGCAAGCAGGGAACACTGGGATCAAGAATGGATACATCATGCGCATGCGCAGTGTAACAAATTGCCTTTGGGTAACCTTTGGGTATGATGAATATATTATGTAAACACTGGCAAAGAAATACCAGGTGAGCTTTCGCGCGAAAACATGAAATCCTCACATATGAAAATGACATGTTATCCCACCACTTGAAAAGATGTTAGTCAAATTGTCAGTTCTCCAGTCGTTCTCTCGTAGTTAGTTTTGCTAACTACGACTAACAATAGACGACTGTTTAACTATGACAATAGACGGATCGAAACGCACCAATCACTGATTACGAGTCTTCATAGCCAATAACATCACGGCTTAACTGACAGACGACCAATAACATCGCGACGTAATTGACCAATCAGATCAATAACCAGAGTATAATACCATCAACTGACGTGGTACAACTCACTTTGACTCTGAAGATGACTACCGCACAGGTTGTCGAAACGTCAGTCACTGTCAACAACAACAGTCCTATTCAGGACTACGTTCACCTGGACGATCAAACTCGACCTACTTTTGAAATGACTCCTGGGTTCAAAACTTTCACAGCATTACAAATTATGTTAGCATAAATTGTGACATTCCCTGGTCTCACGGATTAAGAATTGAAAAAGAAGAAATATCAAAGGTTGCCCTTATATGATATATGAGACATGATATGATATATGTTAGGATATGATATGATATGCTCACTACTTTGCTTTATGGAAAGAGAGCGTGGACTATCGTCTATTTCTTGCAACCTGATATATTTCGTCCATCTGAGGAAAATCCCTTTTCCAATCTTTCGTTTTCTGTTCCTGTTTCGCTTCCTCTTCCGGTTGTGGATGACTGGTTTTAGGACGCTCAAGCTTCAAGGTAATAAAATGGATTTTTTACGAACTACGATTTGTGAAGTGTCAGGAAAAGTATCGTGGACAGGTAAAGATGACTTAGAACCTGGCTCAGTGGAACTTCATCATTTGTATCCGTGGAAGAACGAATTCAATCAGTTATCGAATCACGCGGACATCGAAGCTACTATAAACAATGCAACCGAGCATTTCCTGTTTGAGGAATCTTTTCGTGAAGAGCAGTAAATTTGCTTGAATCTCGTTCGCAGAGGCCAAGACGTTTTCGCGATTCTTCCAGCGGGCTCTGGGCGACCTTCATTTTTCTACTCTTTCCACGTCGAATAATAAACGTAATCAAAGGAAAAGTTGGCGAGTCAATTTCCACGATCATCATCGTTGCACCTCTCCTAGCCATAATTACACCAAGCTCAAGCGAGTTTGGAATAACAGCAACAACAGCCATAGGTTGGGGACAGGAGGAAGGCATGGACGAAGACACGGCAATGTGAAAGGAAGGTTTGCGTGTGAGATCATTTATGGAAGCCCAGAAAGGCAAAAAAATCTTCTTTGAAAGGTTATTTAGCCGCAATAAAAAGATTAATGCTTTAACAGAGGTCAAAGAAAATCAGTACTTTTAATAACTGCATCTGGAATCAAATTCTTTCAGAAACAAACCGCAGGAAATAATTACCCAGTATGCATGACTGACCGTCTAAATGTTAGACTCAGAGCGACAGAAATTAGATTTGCTTAGTTAAAAGAAGGAAAACCTCTGATGTTGTTTATTGAAAGCTAACTCAAAGGTCACGTTTCACACTATCACTAGCTTATGGGTCGCGTCTTTGTAGTTCATGTCACAGTTACGCGGTCGGCGGTCAGTTAAGGGCTGAAAGAGCTCTGTAAGGGAATGTTTACAGGCGTTCTCTCCCCTTCCCCCTCTAGTATCCCCTCTTTTTTTTTTCCTTCGTGAATTTTTCTTCCGCGCTCTACTATCTGAACGCTTGGAACAGGCTAACTTTTCTCAAGCAAACTCGTTCGTAGGGCTTTCTCTTACAAGTAGGAGGGAACCCTGGAACGAGGTTGTTTTTCAATTATATCCCCATGAGTACGGTTTAGTAAAAAAAGGCCATGGAAAAACTACATAAAATAATGTTCTTTGATTAGAAAAGTTCGAAGGAAAATCTTGTTCCACCGACCACACCTTCACGTCATAATCTGCCGGTCCTTGGGGTTCTCGAAAACTTTTGCCGTCATGATTTTATCTATTTCTTTAAACATCTAAAATCAATATAAAATAATGCGCTAAAATATTAATCTCACAAAATCAGCTCATTCTCTCATGACAAAATCGATGTAAGAGAGTTAAAAACGTCAAAACTTCGTCGTTTTCAACCTTTTTTAGCTCTCTGAAAATGTAGTTAAAGTCATTTTAGCCAGAAGCCTAGTGGCGGGCTCCTGTTTTAGGACATTTTCATATCCTCGTATTGTATAACCTTATCAAATTGTAAAAGGCTTCTATAAAATATGGGTTTACGTGCGTACGAAACTGTGTAACTTGTCTTTGTTTTGTGCCTTAATTTTATTTTCCTAGGCTCTATCTTGATTGTCTTTGTTTTCTTTGTGGGCGTAACCTGGTGTAGGCCCTTTCAAAGGTTCCCTGCCTTGTACCAAGCGTCTCTCTCTCAACGAAAATTTGCGCGCAAAGGAAGGCGGGAAAGAAAAAACGGAATTCCGCTTTTCTCCTTCCCATGGTCCCTTACGCTTCGTCATCAGTCACTCTCGTGTGGCGCTCGCCTCTGTGCGAAAAAAAAAGGGCAGGATTCTCTAGACTGGGGATCAGCAAATTTTAGTAAAATTAGGATTATCTGAATCTCATGGTCTACTGACTATAGGTTCCTGTGGAAAGTCAATATAACTGGTCTTAATCTGTTTCAGTTTGACATTATGGCTCAGAGTTCAATGAATGTTACCAATACATCAGTTACCATAAGCAGATTACAATACATGCATCCCTTCGCTGGAAACCTACCCAATGTAACCATCCATCTTACAGATGCTAATCAAGATGATATTCAGTTCTTTATTGATGAGCTGCCTGTTTCTATCAGAGGTGAGACTGGGTGATAAAACTTAGCAAATTTCATTAGTTATCAGTTGTTTCTCCAAACCTTAGCAAATGGAAATACAGAATTAAATATACATGTAAGGCATCATTCTCTCTTGTGTAAGGTTAAAAATTAAGCAACCAATAAAATAACAAAGAATGTAAAGGCACGATACAAAATTACAACTCTTAAATTAAATCACGTGGTAAATAGAAAGGAGAGGCGAAGGGTATGTCTAGGTAAACTAATACTGTGCCTCTTTAAAAACTTACGTATAAACAAAAAACTTGTAGTCTTTAATAGAAAAGTAAACTTAGCAAATTCTGAAGACAACAGACCACAAACTTTAAGGGAATAGACCGCAAATAATTGTTGTTGCGTGTGAAATTCTCTGCACATTTTAGGAGGAGCCACCCACAATGTGAGCACAGTTACTGACTCTATAAATTAGTAAGGAAAAACAGTGAGATTTAGCTAGAAACGGATCCAAATTTTGGTTCAAACTAGAGACGAATATAGTATCGTTGTGTTAATTCGGTGTTTAGAGGAATCACACTTTTTGCGCTTATAACTCTTTGCAGCACAATTGAAAATGCAAGATCTACGACAGGAAAATCTGAAAACGCAATTACGGGAACTGCAGACACAGGAGGGAAACTGGCCAGAGCAGATGAGGAAGATGAGGCAACGCGAAGAGAATTCACAAAGGCAGTTAACGGAGATGCAGAAAAGTGTGGAAAATTCACAAAGGCAATTAACAGAAATGCAGCAACAAGAAGAAAATCAATAAAGCAGTTAGAGGAGATGCAACATCGCGCAGAAAACTCTCAAAGGCAGTTATGGGAAATGCAGGAACGAGAGGAAAATTCTCTAAGGCAGTTAAGAGAGACGCAGGAACGAGAGGGAAATTCACAGAGGCATTTGAGAGAGATACAGCAACGAGAAGAAAATTCACAAAGGCATTTCAGAGAGATACAGCAACGAGAAGAAAATTCACAAAGGCAGTTGAGAGAGATACAGCAACGAGAAGAAAATTCACAAAGGCAGTTGAGAGAGATACAGGAACGAGAAGAAAATTCACAAAGGCAGTTGGGAGAGATGCGGCAACGAGAAGAAAATTCACAAAGGCAGTTCAGAGAGATACAGCAACGAGAAGAAAATTCACAAAGGCAGTTGAGAGAGATACAGCAACGAGAAGAAAATTCACAAAGGCAGTTCAGAGAGATACAGCAACGAGAAGAAAATTCACAAAAGCAGTTGAGAGAGATACAGCAACGAGAAGAAAATTCACAAAGGCAGTTGAGAGAGATACAGCAACGAGAAGAAAATTCACAAAGGCAGTTGAGAGAGATACAGAAACGAGAAGAAAATTCACAAAGGCAGTTGAGAGAGATACAGCAACGAGAAGAAAATTCACAAAGGCAGTTAAGAGAGATACAGCAACGAGAAGAAAATTCACAAAGGCAGTTGAGAGAGATACAGCAACGAGAAGAAAATTCACAAAGGCAGTTGAGAGAGATACAGCAACGAGAAGAAAATTCACAAAGGCAGTTGAGAGAGATACAGCAACGAGAAGAAAATTCACAAAGGCAGTTGAGAGAGATACAGCAACGAGAAGAAAATTCACAAAGGCAGTTAAGACAGATACAGCAACGAGAAGAAAATTCACAAAGGTAGTTGAGAGAGATACAGCAACGAGAAGAAAATTCACAAAGGCAGTTAAGAGAGATACAGCAACGAGAAGAAAATTCACAAAGGCAGTTGAGAGAGATACAGCAACGAGAAGAAAATTCACAAAGGCAGTTGAGAGAGATACAGCAACGAGAAGAAAATTCACAAAGGCAGTTGAGAGAGATACAGCAACGAGAAGAAAATTCACAAAGGTAGTTGAGAGAGATACAGCAACGAGAAGAAAATTCACAAAGGCAGTTGAGAGAGATGCAGGAACGAGAAGAAAATTCACAAAGGCAGTTGCATGAGAGAGATGCAGCAACGAGAAGAAAATTCACAAAGGCAGTTGAGAGAGATGCAGCAACGAGAAGAAAATTCACAAAGGCAGTGGAGAGAGATACAGCAACGAGAAGAAAATTCACAAAGGCAGTTGAGAGAGATGCAGCAACGAGAAGAAAATTCACAAAGGCAGTTGAGAGAGATGCAGCAACGAGAAGAAAATTCACAAAGGCAGTTGAGAGAGATGCAGCAACGAGAAGAAAATTCACAAAGGCAGTTGAGAGAGATGCAGCAACGAGAAGAAAATTCACAAAGGCAGTTGAGAGAGATGCAGCAACGAGAAGAAAATTCACAAAAGCAGTTGAGAGACTGTGACTGGATCATTGCTCGCCACGAAATTCTGATGCCAGACAAATGCCTTGGGAGGGGAGGTTGGGGAAGTGTTTATGAAGGAGTATATTGTGGGTGTGCTGTAGCAGTGAAACAAATCCATGATTTGATGCTTTCTCCACATAACATACGCCTCTTTAATAGAGAAATGGAGATTGCTTCAAAGTGTCATCACCCTCATTTACTACTGTTTATCGGGGCCACAAATGACAAAGAAAGCGCTCTGTTTGTAACCGAGCTCATGGAAAACAATCTGAGGACTCTGTTGGAGCAGCGGCAACTATCTGAAAGAGAAATACGAGCCATTTCTTTGGACGTGGCTCGTGGACTTAATTATCTGTATCATAAAAAACCAGTACCCATCATTCACCGGGCTGTCAGCAGTGCTAATGTGTTGCTATGGCGACAGTTTGACCAATGGAGAGGCAAAGTGTCAGATTATGGCACTTGTAATTTCATGCAACAGACCATGACAGTGGCTCCTGGAGCTATGATTTACAGCGCACCTGAAGCACTTACATCAAACCAAACAGTCAAGGTTAGTTTAAGTGAACATTCAAGACTTTTTACTTACTAAAACTGTACACTGAAAGCTAACAGTGGCAGAAGTGAAAGTGACCTTTGTCCTTTCGCCCTCTTGTCCTGTCCGCAAACACTTCAACATTCTTGAATTAAATATGACCGTATCTTTGTCAGGAGTCTTTGCACCTTGTTCGGCACTTTTTCCACTCTTTTATGTTTTTCTCCATGGATTTGGTCCACGTAACTGGATTTGATAATTTGTCCCTTCTTTTCTCTAAAGACAACGGTTAGAGGATTGCAAAAGTTAGTATTTTTAGAAACAAAACAATAAAGCCAAGAACTTACCTTGAAGGCTTTTAAGGATCTTCTCTTTTCTAGGCTTTTCTTATCATTTATCGATGATCATCTATTTGGTTTGAATTCTCGAGATTCTCCCTTTGGTGTTACTTTAACTCTTTTTGTAATCAGTATACCACTAATGAGTAATGTAAATAAAGAATACTGTGGCATAAAGTCATGTATTATGATTGTTTTTAGGTTGATGTCTGCAGCTTTGATGCTCTTCTCTGTGAAATGTGCATCCGGGAACTGCCAGATCCTACAAGGCGAGAAGAACAAGTCGTGCTGGTAACGAACGCTGTGTTTCGCGGCCTGGTACGGCGATGCCTGTTGAGATAGCCTGGGACGAGACCAACCATGCAGGGAATAATCGATGAACTGAAAGATGCCAATGTATCATCTTAATTGTAGAACCAACGCTTCACCATATCATTGCTAATTCCTGGTAATGTGTGCCCTTAGCCTGTTCCAGTCGTTCAGATCGTGGGGAGTGGCGCGCGCTTTTATTTGCGTCTTCCCCACTATCTGAATGCCTGTGCTCTGAAAATTGGAGAGGGCCCGGTGCTCTGAACCTGTGAAGATTGTGAAATCCAGGGTACCCAGGATTTGATTTATGTGAAAAAAATACTTCCTTTATGCTCAAGTGCAAGATTAAGGCACCAGGGACTACCGGGCACTTGCAGAGAAAGCCCTGACTGGGCATTTACTGGTAAAAATAGCAGCAGTTTCTGCTTGAAGATTTAGTATGGCCGGATTTTCTGATATGAATAAGTGTCTGTATGATCGTTAGAGTAGCAAAAATGAAAAATGATAGCTTTATTTTTACATGTGCAATACATTACTTACAAAATATATTTTTACATTTATTCCGATATTACTTTCTTATGAAGGTCATACAGCCTTAGTAGACCGCAATATAAATCAAAGATAGGAGTAGATAATGTAACCTGCGTCGCAGACGTAATCTTAATCCGGTTTATAATTTAGTAGTAACTTTCTTGTTCTGGGCCCTTAACGGACTGAAAGAATTACCGGAAATGCGTTTCGATTTTCTCCTCCATCTGATTTACAAATTAATAATGTTTTTTTTCAGTGGGTAACTGGTCAATCATAGCGCGTCCTCAAATCCTGATACACAGGTGGGGGCCTGATTGAACAAGGGTTTCGGCGCTGTTTTGCAGACGAACTTAACAAGAGGCTTTAGTTCCACCGTCTGTGGCGCAGGCTATAGATAGGGCGCTTATTACAAGTTGTAGAATGCACAATTAAACACGCGTAGTGGTTAGCAGTTACGGTAGACATCAAAGAAGACATTTATATTTGAGTTAAAACAGGGTGTACTTTAATTCCAATGAAGTAGGTTGTAGACGTGAAATAGACTAACTTGACTGAAGATACCAGTAGACATGTCGCTTGTAACAAGTTTTAGGACATAGAATTAAATACGTCCAATATTAATTAGCAATAACGGCTGACATTTGTATGTAGAGTTTCCTATACTGGATATACGTAACGTACTTATAAAGGGGGATTCGTTCCTTAATTCCTGTGTTACATACTTATGAAGTAGGTCACAGATCAATATAGACGACTAAATTGACTGAAGATACTAGTAGATATGTCGCTTATAAAAAGTCAATTAGGATATACCACTGAATCCGCGTGTAGCTGAGTAGGTCACCTGCTTATGAGGTCATACAAATGAAATAGGCCATGTTAAATATACAATATTGAGTGAAGACACAAGTATATGATGGCTTATGAAACGTTTTAGCGTTTATGATTAAACTTGCGAGTTAGAAAGCAATTGTGATCAGTTAGAGTTTGCTATGTAATGGGTTATTTGAAAAATCGAATGCTCATCAATTCAGATATTACTTACTTATAAAGTACGTCATTCACGTAGAATAGACAATATTCAATAATAAGAGAAACGAGTAGATGTGTCGCTTATATTTGCGTTTTCTATTCAACGGGTAAGTCGACTTATAGAATAGGATTTTACCCCAATAACTTATTAAGTATACAGTGAGTATAGGTCGTACCCTTAAAATAGACAAATATTTTAACAGAAACGAGTAGATTATCTTGCTTTTTGTAAGTCTTACAGGACATTCCATAATTATACAACTATGGCGGCTTTTAAAGCCGAGGTTGAGGCGATTTCTGTCTGTTGAGGCTGTTATGATGAGGGTGTGTCTTGTTTCGAGACCACAATGCATTTATTTATGCCAGTAATTCTGACAGGAATGAGATCGTAGAGACCATCGTATACAGCTCCGCACAGCTGCTAAACGCATCGATCACGCACTGTTTGTCGCAATATATTTCTTGGAAATATGAAGGGTGTGAGTAAGCGGACTCTCTTATATCTCAGCGCCTGGAGTTAAATCAGGGCATTCAGTTTGAGGTGGACCTAGAGCGAGGAGCATAGAAGCTTCAATCCAGCCACAGGCACAGTGCATTTTAAAGAGACAAAGGTAAATTTTTATCTTGTTTGTTCATAAGGCTGCCGTTTGATTTTAGATTTGGCGAAAGAGATCAAGTTTTATATAAAAAGAAGTATGTTGCCCTGTTTTGGCTCTTGGAATCATAAAGGCGAAATGCTTCTCTTCAAGGCCTTCCAGAGTATGGGAAATCAAGGAGAAAGAGCTTTACACGTAAGAAGGTTTTTTTTTTACAAATTCGATACCGGTTATACGTCAATGACATAAATCATATATAGCCTGAATTGGTGTAAATGTTTGCAAGACATCTGCTGATACACAGAAAACAGTTCTCGGAGAGAACGATCATGACGTTTATGAATGTAAATATTAACGCAGTTTTGCAAACTTGACAGTGCTTTCTGTTCGATTCTTATTTTTTCTAAGGTTCAATCTTTTCTTTCTTTTAATGGTCGTTGTGCGTTGTGTTTTGGCAAGACTCGGCATATTGCTAGTACGTAAAAGTGGAAGTGTTTTTGCCGAACGTGTTTTCTTTCTCATTTCATCAAGACAGAAAAAAAATCGCCTTTAAGAATTTCTGAACAAAGTTAAAAGCAATACTTTGATCTTTGCAAACTAAGAAGCTGTTTTGAAACAGTCTAGCCTATCTCCCGCCTATGGAAAATCCGTAGCGTTTGTTTACTAAGGAAATCCCGAAGACAATGCGGAAGTTTACCTGTTTCTAAGAATTGTGTGGTCGTACAGTGGATTAAGTTTGAAGGTGGAAATATCACGGTGAGGATAAAAGCTACCAGTAGTCTTCAGTGGCTAAAACACTGCGAGTCTGCAGTTAATTATAGGACTAACTTGTAAATAATTGTTAAGTGAAAAAACTGGTACATTTAACTTGAGTTTTTTTTTTTTAATGAATGTCGCTTGGTTTAGCTTGATGTGGAGAGCGCATGTGTCGACAAAAACGAAGGGCGCTGAAGATTGCAAAGAGTTTTTACTGACAGAACCAACTAAACGACGTTAAGCATGTTACTGCAGCGTCTACTTGTACTTCTTCTCGTACTGTATCTCACATCAATCCAACCTAATGCTAATGAGAAAAGAACTTTTGACAGCGCAACTGTCTGAAACCGTGTTTATCATATATAAATCTGATGGTCCCAAGTTTTTCGATTTAGACCTGTTTCTGAAAATTAATGGTTGTTCAAATGCCTAAGGAGTGAGCTTTGAAAAACGTTCGGACCTGTACATGTTGACTTGGGACAGAACCTTGCAGGAGATTGGCAACGATGAAAACTTTGCTATTCCTTTTTGGGAAAGTAAAACACAAAGTGAGCCAGCTATTTGTTCTGAAGAGCTTCTTAGTGTAACAAACCAACCTGATGGAACTAGAAGGGCAAATACTTTAACAACTGGTACGTCATTGCAGCGGTGAAGAAACCAATTCCCGGACAAAGATGTATGACCAAACCAACAGGAAATCTGGTTTGGAACTGATCACTGAGAAGGAAATGGAAGAAAAAGTAAGAAAACAGAGATATACAATGACATTTCCAACCAAAGAAGAAGTCAACTTTGCTCTCCGGTTTGAAAACTTTGACCTGCCAAACTATGGCAAAGAGTGAAGGTGCAATTTTAAAAACATCTTGGAAGGCTACGCGAGTACAAAGACCGGTTATCGTTTGCCTCATGTCCAGACCTTACATACCCAGGTTTACGTAGTCGTGGGTGGAGCCATGGGGGATGTACTTTCAGCTTCAAACGATCCGATCTTTCCTCTTCATCATTTCTTTGTAGACCGTATTTATGAGAAATGGCTTCGCAAGTTCAACAAGAACGCTTCGGTTCTGTCAACCGAAAATTCACCCATAGGACACAACAAAGATGACGTCATTGTACCACTTTATCCTGTGTATACTCATCAACGGATGTTTAAGAAGTCTTTCGGGTTTGGTTATGACTACGACGATGTCGACGAGAATGGTAAGTACAAATGAAGGTTCTACATGACCTTCCTTTACTTCTTCCTTTACCTTGAATGCCATTTAGTGTAATTGTAGAGAAGCCTTTAAAGGTAAAATACATTTTATGTCACTCCAACCCCGCTGTACGGACACCCATCGTTAATTACGGACAGTTTTTTCGGACAGTTTTTTCTTTATTTTTGCTACATATTATTATACCTTTGAAGAAACTGAAAACGTTACGTTTTTCCCTAATGTGTTCTATTTGTTAATTCACGCTTATTCAGGATAACGTTACGTAGAATCAAACAGACCCTAGTCCAGCTTAGGTTGCGTAGCAGGCGCCCATTGCCACCAAGCGCCCTCTGTACAGGCTACATTTAGCTTGCATTTGTATGGTTTCTTTTATTAATTCAGACCACGTGATGTTCTCCAGGGAATTTGCCCTTTGTCCTTTCATAAATTATGCATACTTATGCACGTGGACGCATAGAAAAACCTCTCGAAGCAAAGGAGAGAACTAACAACAAACTTAACTCACAAATGGCGTCGACACCGGGATTTGGACCCGGGTCACATTGGTGGGAGAGGAGTGATCTCACCACTGCGCGGGAAGAGAAAATTACATAAGAGTAGGGCTGAGAATATTCAAAACAGAGAGCTAAGCTGAGCTGAGCGGGGTAGAGTAGAGTAGAACACAAAAGAAGTGCAGTTAGCCTTCAGTTAATCAAAAATACAGTGTATAGGGTTCTGTTAGCTCAGCCCTGGATATATTGCGTCACCGTGGACTCCTCAAGTGTATCACTGCGATATTTTGATCGTCCTAAAATGTCGAGCAAACTGTGTGTCCCCTTGAATAATTTAAGGCAGCATAGTTCTATCAATATAACCTCCCGCCCCTCGATACCTGTAAAGGTCATTGTGTGTATCATATTACCCTTTCTGTGTTGACCAGTACAGCATTTCATCCCATATGAGAAAGAGAATGCGATTTGAAATCAGATTTGCGCTTCTCTTTGGAAGAGTCGAGTTTTTAATACTAGACTGCATTTCAGCCCCAAATAAAGTAGACCATTTAGGCAAGACAGGATTACCGGGGTACCTTAAGGATAGCATAGTTTATCAACTAAGAACTGAGTTTTAGACGGAATCCACCAGAAAATTGAGTAATTTTAATTTTCAGTGGAGCGACACAAATCGCCTGAACTGTAAGTGTCCTGGAGAGTCCCATACAATTTACTGTAACGTTGTTACAGTAAATTGTATTGGACTTTTGGAGCACCTCAGGCCGTATCCGAACGAGGCGTTATAATCCTTTTCTTATGACACGGATTTGCAATACAAATGCGTTTACCGTCTATATTGTCATCAAGTTGTAAAAAATGTGTCTCAATTTAATTTTCGCGAGAACAATGAGGCTTGTGATTATTTACTGCCGACTGGTTCGCAGCAGCACGCACTTTGGGAAACGAGATAATTTAAAACTATTTGACTTGTTAATAACGGTGAAGACTCTAGTTGGAGGAAAATAGTCTTAGTTTATTGTTCTACAGTCGATCCAAATCTTTTGTTCAGGCCTTAAAAGCAAAAACGAAATTTATGAAATTTGCAATTGTTTTATGATGATATTGAAGAAAAAAGAGAATTTTTTAGATACAAGAGACAATTCTTGCAAGTTTCGATATTTTCGTTTCTTGGCTTTACAAAATTTGCAAAATTTACAATTAAAACAACCACTGAATTGCTTAAATTATACTCTTTAAATACTGAGAATAAAGAACACCATATGTTAAGAGTAAAGATGTTAACCAAAATAATTACGGCAATCTTTTTTTCAGTTTATTCAGTTGGCGGAAGATCAACATATTCTAATTATTTCCTATTTGTCTTTTTTGCGGATTCCCTGGACATGCTCCTGTGTAGAAAAAATGTGGAAAACTAAAATCTCAGAGTCGCAATTTCCGGCTTTCTGAGAATTGAATAAATTGATGTTAAGGTCAATTTTCATTAATATTTTTTCGTGGGCAAATTCTCGCTTTCGTTGTTACAATGAAGTCTTTTTTTCTATTATAACTGTCAAGAAGGGACTTCAAGAGTCGTTTTAAGTTGATCGTAGAGCGACTGGCCTTATAAGTGGTGGGAAAACGCTGGTATTAAAGTGAAATTGACTTTTTATATGTATTCTGCGTAATTCCACTTTAAGGGAAACTAAGAAATATTCAAATTATTAAAAAAAATTAATACCCGGCATGAAACACACAAGCTTCTTATCATTGTAGACAACATAAGCAAGGAAAAAGCACGTTTTAAAAGACAAAAGAAAAACAACTTGAAATAACTAGGGGGAAGGGGATGTATGGGTATCGCCTCGTAGCGGAGTAAACTTGTAGTTTGTGGCATCACTCAAGGAGTTCAGGAGTGAACTCCACTATTTTGTGCTTCCAGGCTAAAAATAAAAAGAATGTTTGAGAATGGTAAGGGGTCAAATAAAACCATACCGTGACTGGTCTACTTTAGATGTTCAACAAGCAACTCCCCCTTTTCACATGGCAGTCCTCTGTAAGTTTCCTCTTTCCCAGTCAGGTGAGTTGGACACATGGCTTTTTTAGATTGATCAGTTTGTCTCGCTAAGGGATGCATTTTACTTTTAATGGTCAGCTTAAAGGGGAAAAGTTTATCTGGAAGGTTTTTCCTTCTTCTATTTCTTTTTTTTTTTTTTGCATTAATTTTTCAGGCAATTCAGCCTGTTTTTTTCCAATCGCTATCCATCCTTCCCTGACACAGTGTAAGCTTCACACACGAGGATATTTAGCCAGTATTTTTTGTTTCGCTTGCACCGTACACCATTTACACCGTGACTTAAGCGAAACGAGCAAACTACAAAACAGAATACCTTAGACTGCGAGCAGTCCCTCTTCGGTCTGTCACGTCTAAGCTCGGCAGGACTGGAGCGCATTTAGTAAACCTGGTCTGACAGGTTAAAGAGGATCACTGACCCCAGACGTGACATCACGCGTTTTAAAAATGAAAGAGAAGCTGTGGTTGGGTTAATTCCCCGTCCCAGATTATTCTTCAAACCTGTTGGCTGCAGCAGCTTTTTGGTATCTGATCGGTTTTCAGTCACAGAATTTCTTTGGAGTATGATTTCTATGAACCCATTTCTCGTTTCTTGGACCATTGTTTTTTAAAGTTTACTTTAAAAAGTTCTCAATGTTTGAAATATGCCGCGAAGTAAGCGGTGCTATGTCAACTAACATGTAAACTTTGCTGGTGCGCGAAGCATTTAAACACATGCAGGAAAAAAGTCACTTTGAATGTGCATTTTGTTGATCTAGTCTGAGTTTTCACAAAATGGTAAATAAAAACAAACGAAATAAAATGAAAAACGCCTCAGCGCACGAATCCAGTCACCGTCCTTGCGGCAGCTGCGATTTTCAGTAGGATGAGAGCCTGGGGACGAGGTGCACTTCCAATAAACAAAATGGATTGGCTCAGTTGGGTCAGTCAGTTGGGCTATACACAGCTTTGTGTTGTACTTGGTACCGCCTCATTACGCGGTAAGAAGGATGGAGAAGGAGTGCTACAACTTTGGTATCGTGCTAGGTTCAACGATTGCCGCATTTTATATGCCAGTAGGACAGCGGGGCATGAAGAGATGGTACGTAATTAAGTTATTGATGTTTTTCCCCTTTCACTTCCAAGAGTGCACTGACAAAATCAGCAAAATCAACAACAAAGAAGTCGAAATTTCATTTCGTCAAAAACTGAAAACAAATGGTTCTATGTAAGAGTGGACTGATAAAGGGGTTTAGTCCAGGGGCTCAGGAGTAAGCACTAAATTTAATGGATCCATAATTGACCCCGGTAGTGAAAAGGTTTTAAATATATAATTTAACAATACAATTATAATAAACTGGTTCAAGACTTTAGGGGTAGTGCGGCATCGTTTTATTACTACTGCTCTGTTTCGTGCGGCCAAAAGACGATCGCACTCATCAGGTAATATCAACGACTGACCGTTAGATTACAACAACTGGCAAAAAAGGCGGAAATAAGGTTGCTATGAGATATAAAAACAGCGTTATGTTATCATATAAACCATGTGATTGCTGTTTATAATTTAAGAGATTGTGTTACTTTATCATAAAGTTCTGCGATGAGGTATAGTAAAACCTCTATTAAGCCCCAGGGGGGTTACTTCCTTATAAGAGGCTAATGGGAATGTGCCTCTGGATGGGGTCGGATTTTCACGACTGGATTGACTAGAATGAAGTCGCACACATTCGGATTTTTTGGGGTAAGACAGTTCTTCATATTTACGGTTAGCAAGCGTACCAGAATTTTTGTACTGTAGGTGAAAAGTTAAGTGTTCTTCATTCAGTTGAAAAAATTGTTCAATGAATAAAAATAGAATTCAAAGTGACTAAGTTGGGATCGCGAAAACTACATATTTGCCAAAAGGTGACAATTGGTCACAGAATAGAATATAATGGGTTAGGGGCTTTGAGAGGCCAGCGGCACACACCCAGCAAAAATCAGCCCAAGTACCCCCTCCCCCCGTTATTAAGCGGACACCTTCGGGACCTTCCCAAGTGTCCTCTTTTTATAGAGGTTTGTAAAAGTTGCGCAATGTTTGTTAACGATTAATTCACATTTAACGGTTACTCTGTACTGTGATTAAGCCATGCCGTTGAGGAAACTAAGGAACTGAAGCTAAGGAAGCTGTGCTGTACTTTGCCCAAGACTTTTAGTTGAACTTTGATCGCGGATGACGATTATACTGCCGGATAATAATATAATATACAGTTTATCGACCTCTAAATGTATTGATTTATCTCCATTAATCGACTATAGTACGTATTTCAAGGAAGTAATCCAATACTACCTCTCCTTACTTTTTTCAGTTTGTAATTATGCCTGAAACTACAATGAAGGTCACCAAGGATACAGTTACAATTAAAGAACTAAAAGACTGGTGGGGTCACGAAGGACAAACTGTTCAACTAAAAGATGCTGATCCAAATGAGCTTCAGCTTTTTATTGAAAAGATGCCCGTCCCAATCCAAGGTGAGAGTATTCAAAGTAATTTCCAAAATTTTGTTTAAGTTTTGCTTTTGGAATAAAGAGGTACATGGTTCACCTCTGTACAAGTGTATGGAAACAGGCACATCGAGGTTAATATGGTGAGACTAGCTATATTCTTTTGGTTTTGGTTGTTTTAAATGAAAAGAGGGATAAGGTTAAACTTACTGTATTTACGAAGGTTTATAAAAACAGGTAGCTCAAGCTTATGGCTAGAGAAGTTAGTTTGGTGTTTTTGAATTGAGAAGCATATGGTTAAACCGGTACATTTGTATGGATAGCTGGGCTTTAATATTTATAACTGATGAGTGAAATATCCATATATAATCATTAATGCTTATAAATTTTGTCAACCGGCGGGAATCTTCGCGTCAAAACATTGTTTGCTGTTAATAGTGTCAAGACGGGTAGACTACTGGAACAACATTGATCTTCTTAAAAGCAAGAACGCCCGTAGAGAATGATATTCCGGCTGGCCCCTATTCTAGTGATTTGGAGTAAAAAAAATCAGATCATGTTCAAGACTAAATGAAAGCTTTGAGTCAACTGCATTAGTCTGTAATTCACAAATCGATTGATGCCAATTGCTTCCTCGCCTCATTCTCCTATCGCGCTGGCGGTTCCGCCGCCAAAATTTCCCTCTGACCCTGAATCGTCCTCAGTAGTTTTTTTTTATCAAAAATGTAGTTTACTTCATAGAAAGTGCTTTGTACGAGGTCATATTCACGAGCTTGTTTGTGTCAAAACCCGAACGAGCGAGATACGAGCGAGTGAGGGCTTTTGACACAAACAACTCATGAATACGACCTTGTACAAAGCACTTTCTATGACGTGAACTGTTTATTACACATATCACGAGAAATATTCACTGAAATAGTTTTCTTAATGTAACATATAAGCTTATTACCTAGAGCAAATCACAAATACTGAGATGCAAATGTAAATTTAATAGCAATTGCAAATCTCGCAGCACATCCTTAGTCCTCATGAGGGCCTCCTAGGGGTTTTAGGGAACAAGGGAACATCGCCATTTACTTTTAGGGAACAAGGGATATTTCAAAATAACTTTTAGGGAACAAGGGAACTGTTGAGGGATATTCGGGAACAAGGGAACATTGACTTTCGACCATTTTCTAACTTTTGGAGAGATTTCCATTAACTGTTTATGAAGACATTTCCGACGTTTCTGTAATTTCACGCATTTCCGACGACTAAGCCTGGCGACTAATCTTCACAAGTGAACTGATGACGACTGGGGACTAGTTTAGAACGCGTGGGAACCTTGGGAGAGACTCCGTCGGGTGGACCGCCATTTTTATGGTAATTTTCTCTTTGGTGTTCCATGTCTAGAAACGCTAACCATTTATTAATAAATGGCAACGGAAACAGAAGGAATTCAAGCTCAATCTGCGGATATATCAGACACAACGGTAATTGTACCGGTTGCCGGTGCAATTTATCACAATGGAAATGAAAAGCCCACAGAAAGATGGTGTTTTGAACTCGGTATGAGGACTGTTTCAGATAAAGATTTTACGTCAGTTTTAAGCCGCTTGCAGAAAGGATTTGGCATCAAGGAGAAATGTGCAATGCTAAAAATCGTTAAGTTCAAAATTCAGCTGTCTTCAAAAGACTTTCGGCCAAAACTACCTGAGTGGCCTAAAGGACGAATTTTTCAAATTGACACGCAAGAACAGTGGGAGACTGCTTTACCACAGATTATTAGTCATCAAAGGGAGATGATAGCTAAGTCATGCTCTGATTTTTCAATGCTACACTTCAGAGAGTACATAAAAATATCTCCAAGTGAGACTTTCTTGACTTTATTCATATTACTGTACAGATTAACCTGATTTCTCAGACAACCATCCAATAAGATGAATGAGAAAACATCACTTTTAAAATGAGAAGTATTTATTTTAATATTTTGTGGAACTGAAAATCGAGACACAATGTAGCACTATGATACCAAAGAAGGTCATTAATCCTGCCACAAAGGAATGTTTCGTGCTGGTTGGTGACGGACAGGGCACAAGGGATGGAAGCAAGGCACAGCTCTCTCAGCCAACAGGAATATGTTTTGACATGAAAACGTTGTTTACTGTGGACACATCGACAGGTGCACTCCGGATGACGAGCAATGTCAACAGTTTAGTGGAGTATTTGAAGTACCTACATTTGTTCGGAGAGACATTTGGACTTTCCCTTAAAAAGGAAGCTCCTCTCGCCATCGAGATGACGCCAGCAATAGAGAGACTAGAGTTAGTTTATCGATTTGACCAAGAGTGCGTCGACAATGTCAAGCTTGTAACAGGCACGCATGGTGAAACACAGGGCCCTCAAGGAACTGTTTCTTCAGTTGTCATTGAAGACGAGAGACGATTACTTAAGTCAGTACGTGAAATTAAGGTCCTTTTGGACCGGTTTAGTCCTGGGTTGAGTGCTAGATTTAACATAAAGAGCATTTTGACCCTGGTTGTGGAAAACACGTTTTCTGAGATGAGAACGGGTGCCAGTGACATGCCGTTGCAGCTTGAATTTGACTACAGGTTCAGTAGAGCGATCAAAGAACGCTTAAAAAGACAGTGCTCTACACCATATTCATACTTTACTAGCTCTATACTAGTTCATACTACCCACACACCTTTGTATCTGCAAGCTACTCTGACCTTCCGAAATTACGTCCCCCAAAGACAAACAAGCTAACTAGTCAACAAGTTCGTGAGATGAGGAATTGGAGAGCTGTCCACGGTCAGAGTGTTTCCCAAAAAACGGTGTGCAATATGACGACCAAAGACAACCCAGGAACTCTCCCGATTAATCTATATGCGGTGGGCCCACCAGATGTCCAGCCACTTGATTTAACCAAATTAGGAGACCACCATTCAGTGCAACAAATGCCACAGAACGAAGTGACAGAGTTTCTGTACACGTCTAATCAGATAGTCTGTGTTAAGCATGACAAAGGGTGCCCTGAAAACACCTTGGTTCTCTCCTGCCTACAGGAGAATGTTAAAGTTGGCATAAAAAAAGTGATGGCCAAAATTTTTGTTCAAGGTCCTTTTAACCCAATATGCTTTTCGGAAAATTCAGAGAAATACATTGAGGTAGATAGCATTATTTGTATCTTGACGACCTACAAACATAATCAAGATGTTTTGGAACTTAAGGAGGAAGAGCTGATCCTACTTCAGGATGAAATTCAACAGATAAGTGATGTCCTCACTCTTACAGAGGCGACAGAAATTTCTGCTGATGAACCAGAGGTGATGCGGCATTCATCAAGGAGACGAAAGAGGTGTTTTGCTGAGGATTATCTTACTATGACTAACGAGGTAAAACTTACGAAAATACTGACCATCGAAAACTGAAATATGATTGAAATTCTGGGGAACATTAATTAATATTTCTGGGGATCAAGGGAACATGCAACAGAATTTCTGGGAACAGGGGAACTTGATGAAAGTGAATTTCAAGGAACATCTTAATTTATTTTTGGGGAACAAGGGAAAAACTCCAATTTTTTCCAGGGAACAAGGGAACATGTACCCCCCCCTGGGAGGCCCTCCCTCATCGTGCAGAACAGAAAATGCACTTACAAAAATTTAATCGAGTATGACGTTACAAAAGACAGACCTCAGCGATGTGGGCTCGTTTGAGGAGTTCACGCTCCATCTGATTGCACCATAGGTAATCAGGGCAAGAAGGAAGGAAATTCAAAGATTTTTTCTTCCTGAATTCATATATTTGATGCTTTCTCTCGATTTCTCTTTAAAAAGAGTAACTTACGAGTTCAAAGAAACAATACACTAAATCTGGAGTGTAAACAAAAGAAGTCCATGATCAGTTTTTAGAAAACCTTGATTTTCCCATACAATTTTCTGTAATTCTACAATATCAAAATTACAGAAAATGTATGGAAAAATTGAGATTTTCTAAAAACTGATCAAGAACGTCTTTGTACTCCAGATTTAGTGTATTGTTTTTTTGAACTCTTAGTAAGTTACTCTTTTTAAAAGAAATAAATTTTTAAAGCTGAAGTAGTTTGTGCAATGTAAAGAAATAAGGACTTGGGAAAGATCATCTTGGAGGGAAAGAAAGATGAGAAAGGGAGAGAGGAAGACCGATGAAGTAGTGGGGAGGGGACATGTCACTAACAGAAGTAGGAAGATTGGCAATTGATAAAAACTGTTTAAAAGATGCAACGTCCTATGGGATAAGCAGTTAGAGTAAAAATGTGGGCGTGATTTTAATTTCGGACTGGATCGTGTCGAAAGGTTTTTATATCGAATCGACTGATGTATCGAAACGCCCAGTAACCTTTATTAAGATTCATCTGAACGAAAAAATGAGAGCTCGTTCAAAGAAGGAACTATACTTGAGGGTCTGGACAAATGACCGAAATTTTAACTGACAAATGACATTTGTACCCCCCCATCCAGACCCTCATACTTGGACACACACTTCAATACTCACACGAGTGTAGCTAAATGTCGTGGGTTGTGGGTAGATGGTAGAGGTCGTGGGTTGTGGGTGTGGGTCGGGGGTCGTGGTGTGGGTAAATGTCGTGGGCAAAAAAAAAATTATAAAATAGAAAAAGGTAAAGTAAAGTAATTGAAAAAAAAGGAAAAGAAAAAAGTTGTAAAATATTTATGAAACGAAAATCTCTAACTCCTTGATTACCTTTTTCGTCACGGCTTCTTCTTCGTCCTCCTCCTGATATTTCCTTAGCTACGTGGGACTTGGCTCCCCTTTCACAACATTACTGTATAAAAGACATGTTGCCGATGAAGATTTATCCATACCAGAGCTATCGCCGCGAAATAAACGAAACAGACGTAAATTATACCTACAATTTGCATAAAGTATGGCTCAAACTCGCTGAATGGAAACAGCTGCTCACTATTAATCTTTATTCGATCTGCAATTCCAATGATCAGCGGAGATTTTTTAACACGATGGAATGCAATCACCATGAGAAAGGGGAGGAGAAAAAGACAATTTTGAGGTATTTCATATTTTTAGATAGATTAAGTCTTTCTTAAAGAAGTTTTAGGTCTCTTACCCTTAAGAAGGAACCACCTTCATTCCCAGCCTTTCAAGTTAAGCGAGACTGTATGTAAATTTTATTGCCGTACGAAAATACAATTTTCTCGATTCGTTTTTTTGTGTTGTTTTGCGCTGTTTTGTGTAAAAAATCTTCGCTGTAACGACACTTAATCAGTTCGCCCATGTTACCTGGGTGATTTTCATGATTGCCTTGTTTTGTTTTTGATCACGAATTATCTTTTCAGAAAAAATGCAAAATCTACGCAAAGCAAATTCGCCAAGGCGAACATCAGAAATAGAAAGTCAGTGGAGGAATTTTCAGCGACGTGAAGAAAAATTCCAGAGACAGATACGGGAGATGCAGCAACGCGAGCAGGATTTACAAAGGAAACTCAGAGTAGTTAAAGAACGGTATCAGGACTCTCAAAGCCAGCTAACGGATATTGAGCAACATGAACAATATATGCAGCGGCTGTTGAGAGAGCTTCAGCAACGAGAAACAAATTCTCAAAGGCAACTGATGGAGTTTCAACAACGTGAACAATATATGCAGCGGCTGTTGAGAGAGCTCCAGGAAAGAGAAAAAAATTCTCAAAGGCAACTGATGGACAAGATATGCAGCGGCTGTTGAGAGAGCTTCAGCAACGAGAAAAAAATTCTCAAAGGCAGCTGATGGAGTTTCAACAACGGGAAGAATATTCTCAGAGACAGCTGACGGAGTTTCAACAACGTGAAGAAAATTCCCAGAGGCAGCTGACGGAGTTGCAGCGTCAACTGAGGGAGATAGGACAACAGTTGACCAATTGCCGAGGACAAGTTTCTGAACTACAGTTAAGTCTTTCCAGAGCACAGCAAACAATAAATCAATTGCGGAAGCAGGAAACACGTGACTGGGTTATTCCCCGGGACGAAATTCAAATCACAGAGAAATGCCTTGGGAGGGGAGGATGGGGAATTGTCAATGAAGGAACATGTTGTAGCTGTACTGTAGCAGTGAGACAGATCCATGAGTTGATTCTTTCTCCTCATAACATAAATCTGTTTGAAAGAGAAATGAATAGTTCATCGGCGCCACCAATGATGAGGGAACTCCTCTGTTTGTGACCGAGCTGATGGAGAAAAGTCTGCACACTTTGTTGGAGCAGCGGCAACTCTCCCAGAAAGAAATAGCCGTCAAACTCTGAATGTAGCACGTGCCCTGAACTACCTTCATCAAAAGAAACCAGAGCCTATCGTTCATCGTGACGTCAGCAGTGCGAATGTGTTGCTATGGCGACAGGGTGACCAATGGAGAGGTAAAGTGTCAGATTACGGCACTGCTAATTTCATGCAGCAGACCATGACAGTGGCTCCTGGAGCTATGATTTACAGCTCACCTGAAGCACTTACATCAAACCAAACCGTCAAGGTAAGTTTTAGTCACTGTTCAAGGCTGTTGACATTGGCATAAGTGTTTAATAAGTGGCCCTTACCCAAACTTCTTTCCATGCATCGTATCGATTGTGGTTTCTTCTTTCCATTGTTATCGTCGGGGCTTACGGAAGAAGTGGCCCCATGCATGAGTTTTTTGGCTTTATAATGGCACAATGTTATGTTTTATTGTTGTTGTTTTTTTTTTTCGAAGCGGAGAAGAAAACTGTGTCTATTTAGCCTATTGAGTTATGCAACGGACAGTTTTATTGCAAAGTGTCCTGTTGAATTTCTCGTTTTATAAGATACCTGTATATCTGTTCAAAATTAGTCAAATATCTGCCATTTTTGGCAGTGATTTTGCCAGTACAGCAATCTTTAGCTCATTGCTCAAAATTAACCAAATCCATCGGTGTGCACCTAAATCTGGTCTTAATTGTGCTCTTTAACGGCGAAAGACAGCATTTTCGCGCGCTCGAATTCTCCCCCCTCCTACGCTTGTAAGTTATCAGTCAACCTCATTTAGACCATCTCATTAGTGAATTGGTTCTGGTGCAGCTTTAAGACGTTTAGTCACTACAACATGTAGATTATATAAATAACGACACGCCTATTTTTGCTCAAAATTTTGCGCATAGATTCTAATATTAAAAAGCCTTTTTGCCTCCAAATGGCCCTGAGTGTTTATCGGCAATGGTAATTTTCCGGTTTGGGTCTCAGCGGACTCAGTTCAGCTGTGGTGAACAACTGCCCCGAATAATGTCCCTGCAATAAAAACCTAGCTTGCGTTGCAGACGTAACGTAACCAAAGCCCGGTAGGTAACGTCTAGGAAACAGCCCCCAAATTCTTTGTTGTAGGCCTCCACCTGCGCACTAAGATTTTGGTACGCGCCATGATTGGCCTGTTAAAGAAGCCATTGCCATTTTGCCAATCATATTGAAAGGAAATGCGAAACACACTTCCGGTGATTCGTTGAATCCATAGGGTTCCAGAACAAGGATCTCACCGCTGCTTTGCAGACGTTACTAACCGGGGCTAGATTACGTCCGCGACCCAGGCTGTGAAAACCAAACCTCATTGATTTTTACTAACTGCAGCAGGATTAGCTCAGTCGATAGAGCGCTTGACTGCAGAGATTCCCGGGGCCGGACCAATACTCAGGGTCTTAGAAATGAAGGTACTCTCTTTACACTGCAAGCGGCTAGGCCTTCGCGTGGCTCTGATGAACACGTAAAATGGCGGTCCTGTCTCCAGTGGGAGACGTTAAAATCGTGTGCCCAATTAGTACTTTCGTGCTAAATACCTTGACATTCAAATAAAGTGCTTTTTTTTTTCAATATTGACTTCCTCAAATAATGTTTTATTGTTGTTAGGTTGATGTCTACAGCTTTGGTGCTCTTCTTTGCGAAATGTGCATTCGACAACTTCCAGATCCTCGAAGGCGTAACGAACAAGTGGTGCTTGTAACGAACGGTGTGTTTCGTGGCCTGGTGCGGCGATACCTGCAGAGAGAGCCTGGGGCGAGACCAACAATGCAGGAGATAATCGATGAACTTAAAGACTTCGATCCAACTTCTTAACTGTAAAAAGAACGGTATGCAATATGATTGAAAACTCGCAGTTTTTAAGAACTTCCTGTGGAAAAAGTTGAAAAAGTAGGAACGCTTTTTTTGCTGAATTTTAGGACATGAAAATAGGTTTAAGTAATTCCGGTTGTAAGGGCCTGAAAAAGGTGACCTTATTCGCGAACGCTTACTTAGCTCTTAGTTGTTGCAGGGAAGCAATGCAATTTACTTATAACTTAGGAACTGATACTAGAATTTATATTGAGAAGTACGGTGTCCGTAGAAGTCAGGTACTTGTAGTAAAGAGTTAATACTTACGTTAGTAATTAGGTATTCCTTGTTAAGGTATTTACAAAGCAATAAGGTTTTTTCTGTGGAGAATATAACTTTGATCAGTTGTTGGGTGTTTGTACTTATCAGGGAGATAAGGTAAAAGTTTAGCACTTACATAGTAGTAAGACATGTTATTTGTAATTTTTTTAGTCGGGTTCTTTCGAAGATTTTAGATTTTTTTTCGAAATCGTACGATTTTCGAGTGGCACAGCCGTGACCAGGCAATGCAACGCAGACAGATATTTCAAAACTGCGTATACATATATATGTTTTTTCTATGTAATTGTTTTCTGAAACTCGTACTTACATGATGATTATATAACGACTGTATTAAATATGTTTAGGCACCGGGAACGTGAACGTTGTTGCAAACAGGGCTGCCAACTTGGCATGATAGTTATACTGACATTTAAAAGCAGCTGAATTTTTTCAGCCATTTTCCGAAACAGCAGCTTTTGTGACCTTAATGTTGATCGGTGTTGTGACTGACCCGCCCGGCATACTGTATGTGGTGTAGAGTTTGGACCTTTTTAAGTGTTTCACAGCATTGTCGTGTTCACCAGTTTTTGTTCTCAAAATGTTGAGGCTGCTCGACACAGCAAAATCTCGGTACCGGCTCTTCTGCGAATGACCACCAGGGCGGGAAGTAGTCAGTCAGGTCTGAAGCGTAGACACTGGGGTCGGAGAATGGAAACAACATAATTTGCTATCGCCCATGTGCATTGTATAGTTCCAAAAAACATCCATACCCTCCCCACGGAAGCACGAAAGGAAACTGAATTGCCGAGGGGAATGGGAGGTCCAAAGGGAGGCAATTTCCGGGGGGGGGGAGGGGGTTTCTTTTCGATTTTTTTCCCTGGGGCTGCAAGATAAGACTGTTGTTACGATAAACACAGAGAGCAGCGGATATCCTTTTTATTCAGCAGTTAAATCTTAGTTTTTACTTGGAAACCCTATCATTGATCAATTTGAGCATTAACTGTATTTTAACTGTCATCGACAGTATAACATAGAGTTACTGAAGCATGTGATTTAAAGCATGTTATTTAAAATAAAAAAAGCGTGCCTCCAGCACGACCTATCTCCGCATAAAACAATTGACCAGGGGGCTTAAAGTTCAGGCTTTAAGTTGACAATTGCCATCAGCAAGAAATAAACCGGAATACTGTATAAGCAGGCCTAGGAATTTTTTAGTTTGAGCGTGTATAGCATAAACAGTTGCGGTAGAAAATATATTTTTAAAGTGTCTATTTTATACACTTATGGCATTCTATTGCCAGTAAAGTTTTTTGCTGCTGTGTTTAACGTTATCATGTTCTGAGGGAGATGTAGAGAATTTATAATTGATTGGCCTAATTTTCCTGCGTTTCTCCTTGTGGATGTTCAGGCGATTTTGTAATTGAATCGAAAATGTCCCTGCTATAACTGAAAGCCCGTCAAAATATCCCATGGGAGATGTAAGCCACGGGGATATTTTTCGAATCGATGTCTTGAACGTGCGTCACCAATGACTCCCCCCAAGTGTATCGCTGCGATTTTACTTGGACATTTTGGATCCTTGATATTTTTCGCCCAATGGAAGGGAATCAAAGACACTCTTGAATTGTGGATTCCACACCTTCGATTACGGATCCCAGGTACTGGATTCCGGCCTTTGTCAGTGGATCTTGGGTTCTGAATCCAGTCGTTAGTGGGATTCTGGATTCCTTAGGCTGTATTCCGGATTCCAAAGCCCTGGATTCCAGAATTTACGAGCAAAAGCTTTCCGGATAGACAATAGCTTACGTCAAATGGCTTTTTTTCGAGTGCGCCAAAGTGGGCAAAGGCCGGCTTTCGATTTATGGCAAAAGAAAAATGAAAAAAGCTTTATCTGTAGCAGTTTGTTTATTATTATATAAAACAAATAGATTCCATGTTGCCGTGCGTCTGTTCAGTAATAGATCACAGAAGACGTCAAAATGTGGTAAGAACATCAGTGACACACACGGCTATCGCCTGGTGTGCCACTTTTTTGTTCTTACCACATTTTGACATCATCTGTGATCTATTACTGAACAGACGCACGGCAACATGTTATCTATTTGTTAAATAGTATTATTTGTTTAGATTTTTTCCCCTGGGATGGGGTCTCTTTTGACACTTTTGATTGACTTTTCGTTTCCCACCCTGGGGAATTTGATCACAAAATTTTAAAATTTGTCAAATCCACACCCTTGCCCCCCCCTCTACGGGGTTTACATTGATAGGTGCATTACATTGCGTCAACCAAAAAAAAACCGGGATACCCGCACAACCGGCGCTATTGTTTCGCACGGCCACAAATACTTCGCACACACACACAAAAAAAATGAAAAGTTAGTTGTAATTTGCCCAACCCCACTATACCCTCAGCCCCCGGGGCCCAGGTCCGAAGCTCTGGACTTTTCCCGCAGGCTGCCTAGGGGACGGATGGTAGAAGATAAAAAAGAACTGGCTATTTCACTGTCTCGGAACTTCTGCTAAACGGTCATCGCATATTCCAGCTTCAAAGCGAGTAAATTTAAAAACATCAGGTTTGCGTAAATTGCGTTTTAATCTGAGAGAAAACACTTTGAAAATAATATACGCACTTTGCATATTTATCCGTTTTTGACCAAATAAATGATGCGTTTTCCAGTATACCGGTCCAGCCTGGACTAAAATATTTAACACAGCACGTTCAAAATTCTACGTGTTTAATGTGGACAGGGCTTAACATAAACGTCCACGCGTGAGGGCGGAGAGAATTGCGTGACTCCAGCCCGAGCGGCTGCGAA